GAGACAAATAGAAACAAACTTGTTTTTTTTCTGGGGATTCAGAGGCAGCGTTTGGCACCCAAAGTGCGACCATGGGAGGCTCGTTTTGGATCAGAATTAGATTGGGAAAAGCTGTGGCGGGACCAGGTGTTCCCACCACCTCCACGACAACGATGGGGCTTCTGGGGTTTGGCCCTCCCCGAGTTGTGTGCTTTTGCAGTAGTGCGGCTACGAGCGCATGGAGAAGCATAAACGCCAGGAGTACAAAGCAAGGCTCGATTGGGAATGACGATTTGGTCTGGTCGTCCGGCACAGAACGCGCCATGTTTTTATGCTGCAACATTCCATGCCTGACAAGAACAAGCCTTGCCGTTGGGTGTGCGGTGTTGGACTTGAATTCGTCCATTGGGCTTGGCTGACAAGACGCGCGCACCACATTGTGGACAAGTGTGCTCGTGTTGGCGACCAGCAACTGCACCGTCCAAGACACGAAATTTGTGGCCGCACTTTCCTCGATGGTGGACTCGGCCGGTTTGGACCCCACTGCGGCATGGATTTTTGCAGTGTGGGCAGACGTAGTCATACAGCCTTGTCGGCTCCCCTCTGACCTGATTCCCTGGCTTCGCCTCGGGCACCTCCGGATTGAATGCGTGGCCATGCGTTGGCGCGTGTGGCTGCGCGCTTGACGTGGTTTGTTTTCCTTGTTTGGATTCTCGTGTGGGGTGAGTCTCTGTCGTGGCTTGGCGTTTTGCTTGACGACGACTGTGCGGGACTGTGCTCGGCAGTGGCTCGATGGACGATGCGTGTGTTGCCACGACACTTGTGCTTTGTTTGGGGCGCTTTGCGGCGTTGGCTTCCTGTGCGCCGGAGTCCGTGGGAGCCAGACGTTTGCGTTCGTGGACGTGACTGGCGATGAGGTCTTTGATTTCTTGCAGGATGTGTTCTCGGTGGATTCGTTGGCGCAGCGACGCTACACGCGCGTGGGTCTTGGCGGCGACGCGTTTGCGTTGGACGGTCTGGATGCGTGTAGTGTGACACGCATCGCACACTTGTTTCCCGTTTTTTCCGGAAGAGCGTCGGCGGAGAAAGATGGTGTACTGGTCTCGTTGTTTTCGTTGTCGACAGCGCGCACAAGTCCAAGCGCCGCGGGTTTTACGTTGGCAAGTGAGGCACTTTCGCCGGTTCCCCTGTCTTAGTCGCCAGGCAGCAGCGCTGAAAAACTCTACGGCTAGAGTTTTCTGGCACACGAAGCATTGCTTTTTGGCTTCACAGGAGAGACAGACGCGGCGCGACCCCCAGCGTGGACTCAGCTGCTTCGAAAGAAAGTGGGTGGCGGCATGCCAGACACCACATTGGCTGCAACGGTACGGCGTACCCGCATCACGTTTGTGCGCTGTGCACTCTTTACAAACACGGTAACTATCTTGGCGCCACTGTCCTTTTGTGAAACCATCTTTACGCTTGTTTTCCTTGCATTCCATACACGGCCTCTCATCGAGGTATTTCTTGCGCAGGGCCTCCCAGTCAATGCGTTCTTGTTTCCAAACATCCAGCAGCAGCTGCCGTCCCAATGGCAGACCTGCTTGCAGAGGTGCCAGAGGAAAAGGGCGGTAGATAAGTAGTTTTTGCCGCGAGCGGCAACGCGTCATTCCGACGTACACGGCAATGGGATCGGCGTTGCCTTGCACGTCAACGATAGCACCGTGCTCGGCAGTGTATCCTTGTAAGGCGTGCGTTGTCCCGGCGAAATCGGGCGCCAGTGGGAATTGACTGCGCGTTACTCTCAATTGTGGGTTGGCGCGGCCTGCGTCCAAGTACCACCGCTTGCGCGCGACGCCGACGGGGAAGACGTTTTTTGCCGTCAGTCCCGGGAGCTGCCACTCGGTCCGCGTGTGAAAGCGCACGAAAATATATTCCGGTAGTTTATTCCAGATGACGTCTTTCTCAGGGGTTTCTTGTTCGTTCGTGGTTGCGGACCAACCACAAACAACGCCATGGCAGCCACGTAAGATTTTAAAGTCACCCCGGTATAGATGCTCTCGTGCCTGCACAGGCATGCCTACGCATAAGGGCAATGCGCCGCACCGATCACCGCAATCGGCATCACTACGTTGCAGCCAAGCTAATTTCTCTTGAGCCAGGTCCGGTTTTGCGTGCAACGTTTGCGAGGAAGCTACATCCTGCGCAATCGCATAGTGCAATCGCTGCCCTTGGAGACGAGCCCACTGTTCTGCGCGGACACGATTGACGTGGCATTTCACGACATTGGTGCTAAAGATTGCGTGCGCGCGGGTGAGGTCCTTTGTGAAGCGTGAATCCTGTGGACCCTTGGCAACGAGTTGCTTACTCAGACGTTCTCTCTGGCACGTCGGGCATTCCTTGCGCATGATTGTTGTAGGTGAGATGTTTTGCAAGTGCAATTGCTGACATGACATAGTACCACAGGTTGGGCGGCCGTGGGCCTCTAGCCAACTCCCGGGAACTGTCGTGGGTCGGCCATGGAGAAAGTCGTGGTTGTTTTTGGATAGATGACCGGTACGCAGCTCTGCTTGAAGTTCTTGTAACCATTGACCTTGTGTGCGTTCACATTGTCGTAGTTCTGTTACACCTTGGATGCCACCGTCCGCAGCAGAGGCCCAAACCAAGTGCTGGCCTTGCAAGCTTAATGGCAACTTCTTCGAGGAGACACTTGTGAGCAGCTGCCAAGGAATCTGACCCAGAAACGTTCCTCGTGGTGGCGGCAACTGCCACAGATCGCCGGACAAGATCAGATTGAGGCCTCCAAATGGTGCAGCACGACCATTGGTCTGCTTGGCATACTTGGTGGCGCTCAGGTCTGGCACCAGTTGTCGGCACCGTGCTTCCAAACGAGCGAGCATTTCAGCGCTGACCATGCTTATTTCATCGATCACCAGCCACCGCCATTGGACGGCTTGGCTGGCCAAGTCTAAGACGCGCTGTGCATCCACGCTGGAATCGTTCCCGTGCCATGCCAGCCCCAGAGCGGCATGGATGGTCTCTCCATCCAAAGGTTCTGCGTTGACCGCTTGGAAAGTCACAACTTGGAATTCTTTGCCCTGCTGCCACCCAAGCCGTTGCTCAAACAAGTCTTTCCGCAGAAGATTCAACACATAAGATTTGCCTGTGCCTGGACCTCCATGCAAAGCCCATCGAAGTGGTTCTGTGTTCGTTTCGGCCGCTCCCCCGCGATCCTGCCCGGTGATGGCTTCCGCTTGGAGTCGCCTGCAAACTTTCTGGAGGAACTGCAACTGCTCAGAGTTGCACGTCTGTCGTTGCCGACAGTCCGCGAGAAATTCGTCCACTGCTCTGGCAACATTGTGGGCTTCGGCTTGCCATGTCCCTGCCATCACAGCGGCTTCGCTGTTGCTGGATGGCACTGTCCTGTTGCGCTTGGCCCTCGCCAGCTTGATAGCTCTCTGGGCTTCTTTCGGATCCTGTGTTTCATAGGGGTTTTGCCTTTGGCCTGGTCCCCTGCACTGGGACGGCTGCTGCCACATTGCATCCGCTTGCGCCACCGCTGCTTTGTAGCTGGCCAGAGCCGCGTCCGCAACCTTCGCACCTGTTTTGGCTTGTCCTTGTTTCCCAGTTTGCCGAAAAGATGTTGTCAGGGCCGTGGGCAGAGTCGAAGGGGTAACTAGAAGCGGTTCGTCGGCACCGCTGTCGTCACTGTTTGCTGCGGCCGCAGCGGCCGGGCGGACCCGGTACACGGATAAGAAGTTGCCGACATGGCGCTTGGTTTCTTCGCACGGCACACGCAGAAGCCACAACCGGAGCGCTTGAGCCCACGTTTGAGTAGGTTCTTTCAACCGTCCCGCAAAGGGCACATTGGCGGAGGCGTTCGACGTGTTCAAAGTCCAAGCGCGAAAATAAGTCAGGGTTAGGCGAGCATTGTGTTCGGCTTGACCAACCGTGCGCTGTGGGACAGGGGAATTCTCAAAGTGTGGACAGAGGGGTCGTTTACGTCGTTGCAAGTAACAGAGATGCCGCAAGTGTTCGGTGCCGGTGGTCTGGTCCAATAGAATGCGATCGTTGGACGCGCCGATTCGGAGTTTATAGTGACTGCCTGGTTTCAAGTTGAGTTTTTTATCTGGAGCGTTTTGTCGTTGGATAAGTTTCAACCCGGCGGCAGTTAAGGTGACGTCCCACGCAGTTTTCTTCTCGGCTTCCCACTCTCGTTTTGTGGTTGGGACACATGCGACGGCGATGCGCCAGGCAGCCGTGAACTCATAGGGAGACAGCCACCAAACTTCCGATGAAGGAGGCCTATGTCCATATACTTCTGCCAAGTTCACCCGGTGGAGATGGCGCACTCCCGATGGTTGTCGTCGTGTCCAGCGGATGCTGGCTGTGCCTCCCGCACCATCAGACAGATTTGACGTGAGACGTTGTACTAGGTCTACAAAAGCGCCACCGGGAAAGCTCTCGAAACCAGCGGTACTAATGCGTTCGGCAGACACAACAGCTTGATCATGGTGCTGCGCCCGCAAGTTGCAGCATTCCACTTGCCCGCGAACAACGCCTTTCAAGTAGGCATCGCTGAGAAATCGTGTTGCGTGTCTTTTCCCAATTTGTTCGATCGAGTGGCCTGTCAGGCGCGCGTGCAACTGGTCATGGCCTTTTTGAAATTCTTTGATTTCGGCGAAACCCATAGGTTGGTTCTTGGCGCAGTAGTCTGCGCAATAGCCCGTTTGCGCGTCTTGCGCGCGTTGGGCGGCCAACGCAATGGCCCTCCGCTCTTCGGGTAAGAGCTTGCTGCCGCATGTGTCACAGCTATAGGGCAGGCGGTAAGGTACTTGTACGTCACAGTTCGCGCCTCGCAGACCTGCTAGCATTGCTGGCGCACATCCGTTGAGCCACTCGTTGTTGCACGGGCCATGTAAGGAGCCTAAACGATTTTTGCGTCCAGTGGATGGCATGCCATACGTCTTCAATTTACATGGGCACAACACTGTGGTGTGGTTGCACAGCCATTGAGTGCGCGGAAACTCACTTTTGCAGAGTCCTGGCCGGTCACTCTTTTGACACCCTGCTAATGGAACCCGCGCTTGCGCAGATTCGCTATACGGATGGTAATGGTGCTGCTTGAGCAGTTGTAGGGCGACAACGTCCTCTTCCAAGTATGTTCGTTTCCATTCTGAAGCTTCAGCATCGAGATTGTGTCCGTTTGCGCGCCGGAGTTGATATGCAGCTGGCGCTGTCATGACTCGATCGTACTCGTGTTCGGGCCACGACTTTTCGGCAGCTTCGATTCTTGTTTGGATCTCGGCATTTGTCTGCCCGGCGTAAGATGCATGACACACGTGCGCGTGATATTCTTGATACGCACGACGTAAAGTCTGCAGCTTCTCCTCACTGAAGCGAAATATGTCCTCGAGTGGGGTATGTTGGTGCAGACATTGCACAAAAACTTGAGCGTGGCCATGTATGCTTCCAGTACTCTTTTGTGCTTCTAGCGTAATATACACTGCGTCGACGCGCCCGAAGATGCCGCCACAGGGTTCTGCGTTACTACCACACCTGTCCTGACATGGCTCCCACCCAGCGCAGAATGTATTACAATCAGGGCACATAGGGCAAGAACGGACCCCGAACAAATGCTTCAACATCAAATGCGTCAGCACCCGGAAACCATCCACGGATGCAAGTGGGTCTCGTGCTAAGATCTCGCGCCGATCAGCCCATGACATGGGTAAGGAGAACTGTGTCTCGAATGGGGTCGTTGCAGCGGTGGACATGGGCGGAAAATCTATGCCGCCGGCAGGAAAGTCTTGCGCCAGCGTCGCACTGCGCACAGGATCAACTTCGCGGACCCGAGACATGCGCACAAAAAGGAGTTGGTGAGCCTCATCTGGTGTGAAGGTCACAAAGAGTGGTACACCGTACTTGATGCGCATAGCTTGGATCTCGAAGCGCATGCGTTTTCGCGCTTCTTGTGTTCCTGGTAGACCTTGTGCCGTGTGTCGTATGTTTTTCAGAAGCTTGCGGGCCATCGGCTGGAGACCGCGTACGTAGCGGAGCTTGGTCACATCACCCTTCACGGCGCGCGATTGTCCAGTTACATCTATGTACGTTGCCTGTAGGGCCCCGAGTAATTGTTTTGCGGCTGCCTCGAGATGGTTGCCCGTTGGTTGCACCCACGCGTGTTCGTCTTCATCATAAAATGTGCGGGCATATGCATCTGTTGTTCGGGCCAAATTCAACGAGGAACGAAAGAGTAGATTCCACGATGTAAAACCGAAGACCCAGTCACGACCCACCTGTGCTTCAACCCGACGCGCCATGGCACGAACCCAGGAGCTCAGTGTCACCAAGGGTTCGTCGTCGTGACGCTGTCGGGGCTGCTGACTCCATTGTGGGGGG